CATATACCAAGGGTGACAAGTTCGAGCCTGGCCCTAGCTAAACTGCAATAAAAAATAGGCAAGCGCCGATATTCCCAGCTACTTGGGAGGCTGAGACAAGAGAATTGCCTAAACCCAGGAGTTGGAGGTTGCTGTGAGCTGTAATGTCACAGCACTTTACCAAGGGCAATAAAGTGAGACTCTCTGCCTCAAAAAAAAAAGAAGAAGAAGAAGAAGAAGTCTAAAGGTCTAAGAATGAGGCCTTTAAAGCTTTAAATTGGATACAATTTTGAGAGCTTGGATTTTCAAACCAGTCTCCACTGGAGTTATTTGATTAACAGACTGAACAGGACTCCATGCCAAAAACAGAGACTCGTGGAACAGCTCTAAGACTTGCCTGAAATTTCATCCAGGTTTAAAGGGATAGTGAGGGAAGGAAGTGGGTCTATCAGTAAACCAGTGGCACAAGCACCAACACATCAGCAAGGCTGGTGGTCAGGGACTCCAGAGACCTGCAGACGGGAGCACAGAGACACTAGAGCCAGGGAGGTGGTGCAGCCCAAATTGTGGTCTTGGCCTGAGGACAGGTGGATCCCTAAAGGGCGTGGCCACCACGGTCTGCAGCCAGCAGGCTGAGGGTGGTTTTCCTTTCCTTTTCCAGTTTGCCTAGCTGGGACAAGACAGACAGTGTCTGTCCCTGTTGGTTTGGCTGTCAGATTAGCTGCTCAGAGGAGGATGAGTGTTCCTGGGTGGTCTGTCAGTGATGGTGGGAGGTGAGGCTTTCTTTCCTGGGGAGTCTGAATGCTAAGCTTGGGCAGTAAGATTAACCCTTGGTTTCCTCTGAGAGAAAGCTCTTTGTTGCCAGACTGCCACGGGGTGAGGGACTTCCCAGGGACTCCTGGGACATCACTGTGATGCTGGCTAGAGGCACAAGGACACATCTTGTGCAGGGATCTGCGAGGAGTTGAACAATAGTAACAGGGTTAACAAGGTCTTGCGGAGAGGACTTCGGATGGCTCTTGCACATTGAAGCTAGAATCTATACTTGATCTGAGGTTCAGACCACATGGGCCCCACTTCTGGGGCATTTGAGGAACCACCATGGGAAAATTGTATTAAAGCAAGACATATGTTTTAGTCCTGTCTGTGGAATAGCAAGGTGGCTGTGGGCTCTGCACCCACACAGCCTGGACTTGAGGGTGAGGTTAGTTCTTCTTTGGTGGAGCTCTCCACGGGCATGGCAGCACCAGCTGCAGTCTATCTGTTTTGTAGATCCAATACCTGCTGTTTTGTTTGGAAAGGTTGGCAGATCCCAGAGATTTCAGAGTCAGGCCTTAGCCTAACTCAGCCTCCAGCCTGGCTGCTCTGTATAAAGGTGAATGTGGGTGTAACTGGAATTCCTGGTACCAGGCCTGGGCAAAGATTCAGTGGGTTACGCCATATCGCGTCTTCAAAGGCCGATTGGGGAGGTTCCGTTTAGGTGAAAACCAGGCTGTAATGGTGACAGTTTAGGGATGAAAGGGTCGTTACGGGAGATCAGACTGACCTGCCAACTGATGGATGCATTGTCTCTGTATTCCACACCCCCACACCCAAACATCCCACCACTCATTGCCTAATCACCTCCCAGGAAGCCCATGCCAAGTTCAGAAATTACTCTTAATCTTATAAGATGAACTTGACTTCCTGGCTCTGGCTCTGTTCTCTCTGATGCATGGAACAGGCTGGTTCTCTCAGTCATATTCAATCTGAGTCTTCTCTCCAGAGTGGATTATGTCCAGTGCCTTTAGCCCCCCTTGACATGGTCCCCTCGTCATTATTTCTCCCATGTCCCCCTGAAATTGCGTGATGTGGTTTCTTCAGTCCTAGGGTTAGGACCCTCCTGGTTCTGACCACCTACTGTGCTCAGCCTAACCTGTAGAGAACTTTCCACCCAGACACATGCTGACCAACTACCCTGGGCTTCCTCCCCTTGCCCTTGCCTGGGACGTGTGCTTCAGTACCAGCTGTGTGGGCCACGAGCAGACCCTGTGCTGCAGAGCTGACACTCCTCTGTCACTTCGTTTTCTGGCAGCCACTTCAGCTGTCTGGTAAGAGGAGGCATCACCACTCAGAAAAATCACCACCAATTAAGTTTTGACTGATGATATTTAATTTTCACATCCGTTGTAATTTGTTCCTATTGTGAAAAAAAAAATGTGTGTCGTAGAATAGCATGAAATGTGGTAATGCAACCTTATGATTCGAGGGTGAGTGAGGGAAAGCAAAGGCTGGCAGCACTTAGCACGGGGTTCCGCGCGGTAAACTCTCAGTAAGTGACATCCACTTTTGTCCCAGTCCTCCAGCAGCTCACCAGAGCCCCCAAGCAGACCCCCGCCCCTCTCTGCAGCCTCACATCCACCACCTTACGTGCCTGCAGCAGATGGCTTAGTGGTATCTTCTTGCCTCTTCTGGAGTGTCCTATCCCCATCGGCCCTCTCTCATTAATGTCTTCAGTTGTCACTGCCTTTGGGGTTTTTTTGTTTTTGTTTGAGACAAAATCTCATTCTGTCACGCTTTGGTAGAGTGCCATGGCGTCATGGTTTACAGCAACCTCAAACTCAAGTGCCCATCTTGCCTCAGCCTTCCCAGTAGCTGGGACAATGCCCAGCCATGATGCCCACTAGGTGCCTGCCATGATGCCCAGCTAGTTTTGTTTTTTTTTTTAATTTTAGTAGAATCAGGGTTTCACTCTTGCTCAGGTTGGTCTCCAACTCCTAGCAATCTTCCCACCTTGGACTCCCAGAGTGCTACGATTACAACAGGCTTGAGCCACCACCACTCTTGGCCTGTCATTGCCTTTGAAAAGTTGGCCTTGGCTCGGTGCCTATAGCTCAACCGGCTAAGGCGCCAGCCACGTACACCTAAGGTGGCAGGTTCGAATCCCCAGCCCGGACCCGCCAAACAACAATGACGGCTGCAACCAAAAAATAGCCGGGCATTGTGGCGGGCGCCTGTGGTCCCAGCTAGTTGGGAGGCAGAGGCAGGAGACTCGCTTGAGCCCAGGAGTTGGGGGTTGCTGTGAGCTGTAATGCCACAGCACTCTGCCCAGGGGGACAGCTTGAGGCTCTGTCTCAAAAAAAAAGAAAAGTTGGCCTTGCCAACCCCTCCTTCTGTGCTCCCTCCGTGCTCCCTCCCGCCTCCCACAAAGCCTCCTGGCCTGTTGTTTGCGTATTAGTCAGTCTCCTCACACTACATGACTCTTGGAGGGCAGGGGCTAAGTTATTTATCTTTGTGTCTCCAGTTCCTAGCATAGTCCCAGAACAGGACAGAGGCCCAAGAAATGCTTGCTGAATGACTGATGCTTTTTTCCTCATGTTTAATTCCACCTGAATTTTTGTAGTGGTTTCTGGTTTAACAGGTTTCTTAAAAGTATGTTTCCTTATTCCATTAATCTGAGCAGGTCAGGACAGGTGGGATGTTCTTATTTATGGCCAGAAATACTGAACTTCTGGGTGCACAGAGGTGGTGAGTAACTGGCCTGGGATTAGAGCCAGCTCAGGCCTTTTACCAATCTGGAGTTGATGAACACTTGGTGTAAACAGAGGTGCCAAACTAGCAGCCTGCTGGTCACATGTGGCCTGTGGACATGCTTTGGTCTACACAGTTATTTGTTTGTTTAATGTGCAAACAAGTATTAGTTGCTAATACTTAAAAAATTAGATTTTCCATAGAAATTCCAATTACTAACTTAAAAATCTAAGCATCTGGCCACAACTGGCTTGTGCCCTCTTCCCCAGGGTCCCTGCCCTCCTCATTTTCTGATACTCCCATAAGTTTGCAACCCCTGATTAGAGAATGAATCCTGTCAGCAAGGTCTTGGGGCAAGGTTTCCATCCTTTTGTGTCTGTCCCTTGACTTGGTGCTTGATAACATCAGTCTTCAGGGGCTGAGTAGAATTGCAGGTGGGGCAGGCATGGTTGGGCCTCCGGAGAACCCTGGCTGCAGTTGTCCATAAACTTGAGGCTTTGGCAGGCACTTGGGGCCAGCTCCTGCCTTGGCAGTAGTCTTGCTTCAAGTCTGCCTAAGGGGGGAAGGAGGCAGTGAAGCCAACTCCTCTCTCCTCCCCAGGACAAAGGGCATGATGGGGTCAAGGAGCTGGACAGCTTGAAAAGTGACCGATTGAGAACCATCCAACTCAATGTCTGCAGCAGTGAGGAGGTGGAGAAAGCAGTGGAAATTGTCCACTCAAGCCTGAAGGACCCTGAGAAAGGTAGGGGACCCCTTGGGGCAGTAGGGGTCTTGTATGGGGCTGTTCAGAAGGGGCCTTTCCTGAACACTACCTGCCCTTTGCTGGCATCCTGCCCATCCACCTTTCTTTATTGTTTAAACTCTTCCTGTATTGGTATTGGTGCAAAAGGGCATTGTCAAATCCAGCCTGGAGGCTGGGAAGGGAGGCTGTCCAGGGCCCTGGGTGCCAAGAGGAGGGGATCTGAGAAGCTATAGGCATGATGGAGTGATATGCACTGGTCAGGCCAGTTCAGCCAACGCTCAATGAATGCCCATTGTGGGCCTGGTGCTGGACTGAGTGCTTGGGACACAGATGGGCAAGTCATCTCATGAGGACTTCATGGTTCTATGGGGGGATTGATTTCAACATGAGGGAGCCAGTGTTGGGAAGCAGAGTAGCACTGGAGAGAGGGCCTAGTCCAGTCTTAGGGGTGCAGTGGGAGCAGGCCAGTTAGGGCAGGCTGTGGCAGAGAGCGGGAGAGCTACGCCGTGAAGGGAAGCCTGGACCCCAGTGGGGTGCAGCACAGAGTGTGCTGTGGATGACAGGCCATGTGGCATCAAGAGTCAGGTTTGGTGGAGGGGTGACAGTGAATGAGGCTAGGGAGGAAGGCTGTACAGGGCCTTGGATGCCAGGGGGGGGAGCATGGCTGGCTTCCTGAGGGCACTGGGGAGCCCTAAATGGGTCATCCCAAGGGGAATGGCCTGGTCAGACTTATGAAGCTCACTCTGAGCACTGCAGTGAGGATGTAAATGTGGGCTTGAGAATTCTAAACTAGGGTGGTGGGTGTTGGGAAAGGAGAGATGAGATCTGCGGAGTATTGAGAAGGCAAAGCTGGCTTGACTTACTGACTCGGGATGAGGAAAGGTGAGAGGCCCCTATGCTGGATCTGGTACCCTTCACTGCAGGAGCAGATTGAGTGCTGGGGAGATGCTGAGGTGCCCTCCTGGGGAATGACCAGGGAGGTCAGGTGCTCATGGTGGGAGGTGAGGCTGGGAGTTGGGGAGATACACAGAGGGACTCCTGGAGAATGTGAGCATGTAGGGCCAGAGGAGGGAAGGGGACAGCTGTCAGAGAGGTTGGACACAGGGCTCCAGAAGCTAAAGGAGCAGAAAGTTTGGGCGGCCCTTAGCCAACAGGGCCAAATGCTGCAGAAGGTTCCTGAAGCATAAGGACTGGAGTGTTCTTCCAGTTCAGCCAGTGGGGGTTTTGGGGGAGGAGCTGTGTCCATTCCTGTGGAATGCAGCAGTGATGGACAGAGCTTCCTGGAGCTGGGCAGCGCAGCAGCATCCATGAAGAAGCCGCTCCATGAAATTGACCTTTAAGCTCCCTGATGGCCTAGACAGAAAGAGTCTGCCCCATTCAGCTCTGCTTTCCCACAGAGTGGGGTGGGAGCTGCTCTCCCAAGTGGTGACTTTGCTAGGTAGGGTGTGACCAGAGCCTGTGCTGGGCACCCTGTGCTGAGCACATGTCAGTCAGGTAGATATGTTGTCAGAAGCTGGGCTGAGGGATTGTGGGTGGCACTGTTGCTCAGTGGTCAGCCTGTCACACTGATAGCCACCTTGTCAGCCCAGTGCTGCCCTTTCCCCCACTCCAGACCATGCCCAGGTCCCTCAGCTCTCCAAGGAGAGGCTTGTGAGTTCAACCTCGCTAAACATCTGTTTAATAATTAACAGGCCGAGCCAGTGTTCCTGTACCATTAAGAGAAGGCAGGATGGGTCCCACTGGGATGATTACCAGCTCAGAGGTACAGCCTGCTTTGCCCCTCCCAGGTGGTAAAGCCGCCTCCGCCTGCCTGCCCTAAGCAGCTGGGATATTGCCTTCATAAACTATTAGGCAGGAAAACAGCTGCATGAGTGCCATAAAGCCTCTTCATTACAGCCTGTGGGTTTGCGGTAATTTAAAACACCCATGGAAAGGGCGTCACCAGGGCCCTGAATAGAGAATGGGGCTGCACCAGGGCTGAGGCTGCCCAGGTCCCGTGGCCCTTGTCCCCTGCTCCCTCCCCCAGGGGCAGAATCACCTCCATTCTCTGTACCAGAATGGCCAGTTAGCCTGACTGCTGGCAGGGTGGGCTCCAGCCACACGGGGAAGGGAGAAGGCACTCACCCCCATCCGGGATCTAAACTCGAACCCCAGCACTGACCCTGGTGCACAAACCTCTCCCTGCTGCTTTTTCCACATGATGCACTGGGAGAGAGTTTGACAAACCGCTCACCGTGACTTTATTTAACCAGTGCTGCATTTCTTTGAAAAGGATTTCAAGATTTTTAGGTCTGAAAAAGAAAATAAATCTGTAAGATATGTGGTTGTGTGCCCCCCTCTTTCTGTCCTTCTCTCTCCCTCCTCTTTCTTCTACCCCCTCCCTTTCCTTCCCTTTGGGCTGTCTTTTTCCTGGCATGGCCAGTGCACTTTCCCCTTCTCAGGCAATGCCAGCTTTGAACTCCAGGTGGTGCCCTCCCAGGGTTTTCAACCTGCAGGGGCTGCCTCTGATTCACACCCCACCCAGATAGGAACCTTTTAGGAGAAGTGTTCCCTACATCACCACCCACCGCATGTTTTGAGGGAGAGTTTGATGCCCTTCACCCTGTCTTTGTGGAACAGTTGCTGCCAGAGCCTGGGGAGCCAGCCATGGGGGGTGAGATGAAGGAGATTGTCTGATCAGAGCCCAGAAGCCATCTGCCACCGGCCCTTCCCCCACAACAGGACTCTTAGGGACTGGACATCTGGAGCTTGTGCCCAGCTCTCCCCACCTGCCTGAGCACGTGGGCCAGCAGGCAGCCATGGCTTGGCCTGCTCTTGGTACTATCACTTACCAGTCAGTCAGTAAAAGCCAGCCAAGAGGAAGTCAGTGGCTTTGGGACAGGACCTTTGAGGAGCAGCGATAGCACTGGGGGTGCTATGCCATGGATGGATGAGACCTTACATCTGGGACTCCCTCAGTCTTGGAGCAAGAAGTCTAGATTTACTCTGGGCTTCACCTCTTAATAGAAGTCTGGCCTTGGGCTTGAACTTTAACCTGTGTAGGCCTCCACTTGCCCATCTGTAAAGTGGGGCAAGTGCTCTGTGAGCCATCCAGGGTTCACACCTAGATCCGATCACTTTAGGAGCATGGGTAGAATTTTGGCACAAGGGACTCTCAGGCTGAGGGGTGGGGGAGCAGGCAGAGGCTGGAGTGGCCATGATGTTGGGGGATGGCAGGCTGTTCACACAGAGAGGGCAGAATACATGAGTGGGAGTGGGAGGGAAGCCTGGAAGGGCCCTGCACACCATGGTACAGGGTGAGAGCAGGACGGTGAATCTGGCAGAGGGGTTGGGGTAAGGATGGATGTGGAGGAGTGAGACATGAAGACCTGGGAGGAGCCTTCTCCGATAATATGGGAGAGCAGAAACAAGGGCCTGCACTCATTCAAGTGGAAACAGGAAGGAAAGCCTCATTCTAATGACTCAGCAAAGAAAACTGACAGTAGCAGGGCTAAGTGTGAGGGCTTTGTCCCCAGACTGACCTGGGCCCAAATCCTATCCTTCCACCTGTTCGGTGGCACTAAGCAAGGTGCCTAACCTCTCTGAGCCTAAGTTGCCTCAACCAGACAGGAGACAATTTAGTCTCTCCTCTATAGTTGGTTGTGAGGATCAGGTGAATTGCAATGAATGCAAACTGCTTAGTTTGAGGCCTGGCAGCTGTAATCTTGATCTTTGACAGGAATAGTGATAGTACTTGGTGGCTCATTTGAGAAGTGAAGGGACTGGAGGAGTCAAAGAGGAAAGTGAAATTAACAAAGAGGAGGTGCCTTCTTGGGTAGCCTGGGAACCTGAGGTAGGTGTGGTTATGGTTAGGGTGAGCTGGGGAGCTGCGGAACATTGAGGCGGAGGTGAAACAGGAGGAGAGTGGAGTTAGGAGAGAGCCATGACTCGTGGGGGGGACACAGGAGCCATCAACGTGGAGGTGACGTTGGAGCTGTATAGGAAAACAGCTGTCACCCATGCCAGCAGGAATGTTATTTAGAACTCCAGGGAGCGACAGGGCCCACAGGCTACTACTGCTTGTCAAGTCAGCAAAGCTCTAATCCAGAAGCAGTGTGTTTTCACAGATCACATTTAATTAAACTTTTGTTGATAGTAGTATCAGATGTCATTGTTTTATTCTTAGGTGGGAAAAGGACTGTACTCATAGACATTTTAGGGCATGTGATATGGTCCCTTATGAATCAAACAAAACAGCCAGAAAATTCTAGGAACATGAAGAAGATGTGGACACCTAAGTGTTGCGTGTCATTTGGGAGAAGCAGGTCTAGGACAGGACACTGGGGAGGAGGGGGCAGGTGGAAAAAAGGTGTCAGGGAGGGCACAGGATATCAGTAACGCAAAGGGAGACATCAGTGTCACGGAGCATTAGTAGCACCTTATCCTAGGGAGGTTGAGGAACGTGAAGCCTTAGGAGGAGTGTACATGAATCTCACATGTACCCCGGAGAGCCTAGAGAGTGCAGCAGGAGCAGCCAGCATGGCTTGGTGGGGAGATGGGCAATACAGAGTGTGTTCTCAGAAGCCTGTGGTGGAGGAAGGAGAGCAGGTACCATGGTCATGGTTCTTTAGGGTACAGAGATCCAGTACTTGTAGACATTCATTCACCCACTACGTATTTGTTAAGCACCCAATGTGTACAGCATTAAAGGGAAGGAGCCAGGAACAGGGGAAAAGTTGAAGTTGTGTAAAAGAGGCCGAAGGATGAGCAGCTTATGGTTTCAAAGATGGTGTCAGCCATGACAGGTGGGGAGAGGCCTCCCGGCTCCTCTGGGCAAGAAAAGAGGCTGAGACCAGGGGAAAGTCTGAAGGGAGAGGGCAGGAGTAGGGGGTTGTCCGGGAGGACTCTGATTGTGTCATTAGTGCCCACGGTGAGGTCCTGGGTGAGCCTGAGGGCGCAGGGAGGCATCCCCGCGGCTGCTGTTGGGCGTAGGAGTGAGTTCTTCATGGACACTTTGTTAACCAGCAATTTCCTTTACTTAATAAATGTCCTTAGTTCTCCATAATTGAAGGAGAAGGCACCAGAGGTCAGTTGATGAGCTTTAATTTGGGTAACACGGAAGGGAAGCAGCTAGAGACCAATTACTTGTCATTTACGCAAACTCATTTCCCTGATTAACTTGGAAATTGAAGCAGGGCTGAGTTCCCACAGTCAGCTCATGGCCCCAGGAGGGGAGCTTTGCTCTGAGCCTGGGCCTTGGCAAGGAGCACAGGGCTTTCAGCCACAGGAGACTAAGCCCTGAGGGTTTCCACAACAAAGGCAGGGCCCAGCTCTGTCCTGAGGCTCGGGCGCAGCCAGCCCTTGCACCCCAAAAAACTGAACTCAAGGAGGGCCTTCAAAACAATGCTACATCCTCGTTGCCCACTGCCAGCTCTGCCTCTGGCTTACTGGGTAAACTTAAGCCTGTACTTCCAACTCACAGCCTCAGTGTCCCTAGCTCTGAGATTAGTTAATAGACTACATAAACTGCAGAGAACCCTTCAGCATTAACATTCTCTCGAGTCTACAAAAGCCAGCTGTCCCTTACTTAGCTAGCCTTGCAGGAAGCAGTCAACCCAAGTATACTGTGAGAGTGTACATTTCCTCTGACCCTGTACTCACCTCTGTGGGACCAGGCATGTGATGGCCAGCAAACAGTGCCATGGTTCAGAGGAGGGAGAGAGCAGAGTGATTGTTAGGAGGGTCTCCAGGTGGAGCAAGACTGGGCCTGACCCATGCTCAAGGCTTGGCTGAGCTTCTAAGTGGTTCTCAATCTTCCTAATGCTGCAATGTATTTTCATTGTTAAAAAGGGGTCAGAACCCACAGGTTGAGAAATGCTGCTCTAACTTGATGTGTGTCCTAGCAGCTTGGTCCCCTCTGGTCCTGCAGGGCTCCTGTTTGCCTGGAAGACACCTGAGGTTTCCCAAGCTTTTGCAAAGGGGGAGAATGTAAATGAAAACTCAGAGGCAAGAATGAGTAAACATGTTTAGGTGTCGGGGGGGTGAGCTGGGCTGTAGTGGGGCAGAAGTGCAAGTTTGAGGTGAGACTCAAGGCAGAGGGTCCCGGCAAGATTGGTCATAATGGCCCAGAGAATCAAGTCAGGAAGAAGGGATGTGAGGACTGGATTTTGCACATAAGGGAGGGTTGCAGCCACACCTTAGGTATCTCTATTTCCTGTCATTCTTGAGTGACTCCAGAAAGTTTCCTCAGAGCCTTAGGCAAGAGGTTGGGATATTGTCAGGCAGTGACAACAGCAAGGAGGGGAGTGGGGTGCAGGCTGATGGGTGGTGTCTGAAGCTGAGCCCACATGGTGACCTCAGGTCTGTCCTCTCCTCTCCAGGAATGTGGGGCCTAGTTAACAATGCAGGCATCTCAACATTTGGGGAGGTGGAGTTCACCAGCATGGAGACATACAAGCAGGTGGCAGAAGTGAACCTCTGGGGCACAGTGCGGATGACAAAATCCTTTCTTCCCCTCATCCGGAGGGCCAAAGGTGAGTGGAGGAGAGAGCTCCGACTTGCCCCTGGACCTGTGCCACCTGTCCATCTTGGCTCACAGTGGAAATACCTCTCCCAGCAGATCTAGCACCCATAACCTGCAAGGTCTGAGCTCGTGAATCCTGGTGGCCATGCTGGGCCTGGGGTGATGGTGGTCAAAGGAGCCATGGCCAGGTTGGAAATGGATGTGAGGCTTTCAGAAAGAGGCCAGCCATCTATGCACCAATGGTTGCAAGATTATCACAGCAATCCAGTCTGGCCACCTAGTCCAGGGCAATAGTCACCCTTTGCGCAAAGCTGTATGTACACAGTGAGGAGGTTAAGTATAATTTGGCATATCATTGCTATGGGTTATTATACTGTTGTAAAAAAAAAAAAGAGATAGTTGCAGTATTAAGAATTAATAATAATAGGCTCGGCGCCTGTGGCTCAAGCAGCTAAGGCGCCAGCCACATACACCTAAGGTGGTGGGTTCGAATCCAGCCCAGAACCGCCAAACAATAATGGCTGCAACCAAAAAATAGCCGGGCATTGTGGAGGGCGCCTGTGGTCCCAGCTACTGGGGAGGTGGAGGCAGGAGACTCGCTTGAGCCCAGGAGTTGGAGGTTGCTGTGAGCAGTGAAGCCATAGCACTCTACCCAGGGGGACATCTTGAGGCTCTGTCTCAAAAAAAAAAAAAGAATTAATAATAATAATCAAGACTAGAAATTTGGAAGATGCTCAAACCACTTTAGGTAGCCAAATGTAAGCAAACTACCTTAGAAGTCACTGACTCTGATTTTCTCCCCAGGTTAGCAAACAATTGTGGCCAAAAGGGCAAGATCCATAGATCTATCCCAAAGTCCTAGAAACAACAGGAAGGAATGAAGAGCGTAGCTGCAGGATTCTAAAAGGAAACTTCAGCCCTTCAGTGACTTCACACCTAGAGGTTTCTGAATGGTGCCTCCCCACAGTGTGCAGAATAGTCTGTGTCCCTCCTGGTGCACACCCAGGATGAGCCATTCCCAGGTCTGTGGGTACTTACCCGGCTGGACTAAATGTCATCCTATTGTCCCAGGGCTGGGAGAAGCTGTGGTGAGCTTCTTCTAGTGCCTGAAACTCTGCCCTCATGTCCTAGCCCTGAAATCAGGTTCAGAACCTCTGCTCCTGCGGCCCAAAGGTGCTTGTTTGCCAGCTGTCTTGGGACAGAGTTGGGGAATGAGCCTAACAGCACCTGTCCTGTCCTCTTCCAGCGTTTCCTTAAGGGCCTCTCCAATGGTGGCAGCCCGTGGGTGCTCCCTCCTCTGTGCTGCTAGCTCCCTCCCTAGCACTGCCACCAGTGGGTGGACACCCAGACTTAGCATGTTACTTCTCCACACATCTTACTAGCGGAGCTCAATGGTAAGCTCCATGAGGGTAAGGAGGAGGTTTTAGGTTATACTTCCCCCTGACCAGCATCAGACTTTGCTTATCCTGAACACTCAGATCTGCACAGACAGCTGTCTCACCTCTCATGTTCTCCCATTGCATTTTCACCCCAAATCACTAGGCAGGGCTTTATCTGGTTTTTGAGTTAGTGGAATGTTGCCAATTATTTTCTGCCCTGCTGATAGGCAGGGCTGCTTCTCACTCTTTTCTCCTCCCCAATCCTGCCTGGCACAGCCGGGCACCCCGGGAAAATGAAGACACTGATGTGTGGGCCTGAGCTGGCCTTGCTACTGAGCGAGAAAGCCCCTGACCCAGGGTGGCTCAGAAATGGTCCTGGCCAGGCCTCTGGAAACATGCCAGGTGCCGGCCCTCTGCCGCAGGCGGTGCCACCTGAGCCATGTTTGCTGTCTCCCTCTGCAGGCCGCGTGGTGAACATCAGTAGCATGCTGGGCCGCATGGCCAACCCCGCCCGCTCCCCCTACTGCATCACCAAGTTCGGGGTGGAGGCTTTCTCCGACTGCCTGCGCTACGAGATGCACCCTCTGGGCGTGAAGGTCAGTATAGTGGAGCCCGGCAACTTCATCGCTGCCACCAGCCTCTACAGCCCTGAAAGCATCAAGGCCATCGCCAAGAAGATGTGGGACGAGCTGCCTGAGGTGGTGCGCAGGGACTACGGCAAGAAGTACTTTGATGAAAGGATTGCCAAGATGGAGACCTACTGCAAGAGTGGCTCCACAGACACGTCCCCTGTCATTGATGCTGTCACACACGCCCTGACTGCAGCCACCCCCTATACCCGCTACCACCCCATGGACTACTACTGGTGGCTGCGAATGCAGATCATGACCCACTTGCCTGGGGCAGTCTCTGACAGGCTGTACATATACTGAGCCAGTTTCTCTGTGGCCTCTGTCTGGAAGCCCTGGTGGGAAGGAGGGGGAGGAGAGAAGCTCCCCTTGGTTATTCACTTCTGGATTATCCAGTGTCCCAAGAGAACTCATAACTAGTTTTAGCATTAACCAGAGGGAATAACTCCGCCTGACTAGTTTGCACAGTGAGTGGCTCTGGCGCCACAAACAGGGTGTGGAGGGCAGGCAGGGGCCCCTAAACCTCAGGGCAAAACAAACATGGTGCATCCGTCTATCTGGAGTTGATTTCATATGAAGATTTTGGGGAAACATCTTTATATTAAAAACAGATTTATTATAGAATAGAATCCAATTCTTCTACATCTTTAAGTCAAAATATCATTTCAAAAAAGTTATCTCGGCTCGGCGCCTGTGGCTCAAGCGGCTAAGGCGCCAGCCACATACACCTAAGGTGGCAGGTTCGAACCCCTAGCCCGGGCCCACCAAACAACAATGATGGCTGCAACCAAAAAATGGCCGGGTGTTGTGGCGGGCGCCTGTGGTCCCAGCTACTTGGGAGGCTGAGGCAGGAGACTCGCTTTGAGCCCAGGAGTTGGAGGTTGCTGTGAGCTGTGAT